CTGCCTCCGAGTGGTGCATACTGTTTCTGGGCGGTCGGTTTGTACCACTCTCAGGATTGCTGCAGCGGGGCCTTCCAAGTTGGACAAGAAGGCCTAGGGTTTTGTTTTGGTCCCCCACCGCAAGGCTGTCTTCTCAGTATAGCCACTTTCTATAGGAAGAGAAGGATTGTACTAGGTTTAAGTGCACAAATCCTTAAATCTGAGCTGGTTACTGGCAGCTGCCGAAAAGCTTAGCCATTAGGGTTATTTTATTTAATGCAATTAAGGGCTGGGATAATGGATCAGAGCAATGGCTGGCTCAGATTAAGGGAGACGATAAGATACTGCTGGTTTCAGCTGATTCCATTGTGACAGATTAGGGTATGGAAGTTTGTAATCAGAAATTCATTCATGATTCTAAGAGTCAGGGTTGCAGTAATGAACCGGGGGAGAAAAAAGTTAAGTGATATCCCCTAAGTTGGTGCAGTTCATTAACTGGCATGTGCCCTATCGTTAGACAAAATGAAATGGCTGCCTCAGGGAGGGGAAATTGTGTTGGCAGTACAGGAAAAACAGCCTCTGCCTCCCCTTAGTTTTCCCGTTTCCACTCTTGAAAGCCAACTGTGTCCCACACAGTCTTCACCTTGCCCCCAACCTCTTGACCTGGGAGCACTGAGGAAAACAGTGACCCATTGCTTATTTTCAGCAAGTGCAACTAGCTGGCTGGTTACATTCTGTATATTTGGGTGTGTGTGTTAAAAGCACTTTTTGTCTTTTGCTTCAGAGACCAATATGCTTTTGGTTTCCCTTGCACGTACAGTAAGAGTGACAAGTTCACCAAATCCAGGGACTAATTTTCTGACTCTAGAACCTTTGGGGGGCCAAAAAGGCTGGCAAGATTTTTTTAAAATGCAAAGGAGGAGGAGGAGGAGGAGAAAGAACTTGTGAGAAAGCCCCTTCTGACGAAAATTTATGTTTGGCAGTATTAAACAGTACTGGAGAGGAGGTTCCCACAGCCTATTTCTAAAGTCTTTCAGTTGTATCTATTATACCTGAAAGAGGGGGGCCCACGACCACATTTTCTCTGCCCCATTCAGTGGTGGACTTACATTGTTGGGGCCATGAAACTGTTATGGGGCCCCTGCACAACCAGCAATTAGGTCTGGATATCTGCTGTTATAGTTGTTACATAACAAATCACATTAAAAAAAATAACCACTACATTTCAGATTTTGATGAGTACTGCTGTACTGGATTATTCCATATGTCAAAGTCACTGAGGTGAATAAAACATTTCCTCTGGCTTTTTCATTTCCTCATTACTTTTGAGTTATAGGGGATGAAAATTAGGGAAATGTTATATACTCATATGTCAGAGTCACTGAGGTGAATAAAACCTTTCCTCTGGCTTTTTCATCCCCTCATTACTTTTGAGTTATGGGGGATGAAAATTAGGGAAATGTTATATACATGCGTGATGCATTACAGACTGATGAAATAAAACATAGAAAAGATCATTTTTAATATTAATTTTCTTTATTGGATCTTACCTTTTGCCGTTTGAGGGTGGTGTTGTCTGTAGGAATAGAATAGGGAGACATTACCGTCTGCTGATTTTTGCAGTTCAAAGGCACCATTGCAGCAGTGTAGCCTGCATTTCTCAGGGTTCCTCAGCATGTCTTTTTCCTCGCTTTGTGCTGTCTCATGCCACTTCTTGCTACCTGAGGGTAGATCTTCCTGAGATTGCTATCTGCACTTATTCTTAAGTCACCAGGTCTCGTCTCTTTTAAGAAATCTGCATCTCTTTAAGAAATTGATCAGAAATGTTTCAAATCCTTCAAAAATCTTTAAAGCTGTCTACAACCATATTGTCCATATCCCCTTTGCTTAGTACTTTAGCACAAAATTGAAGGTTTCCGATGGCAGCAGACATGTGCTGCTATTCCACCTCAGAAATCAGTTGTCTTTGAAAATAACTAATCTGGAAGAATTCCTAGAAATTGTCTTCTCTGATGGCTTTCTCTAGTTTTTTTGTTTGTTTGTTTCTTTTACCCTGTTTCCCCGAAAATAAGACCTAACCTGAAAATAAGCCCCAGTAGGCTTTTTCAGGATGCTCGCAATAAAAGCCCTGCCCCCAAAATAAGCCCCAATTAAGTGAAACACCACCCTCCACCATTGTGCAGCAACCAGAAGAAGATGACATGACTGTAAAATAAAACATCCCCTGAAAATAAGCCCTAATGCATTTTTGGAGCAAAAATTAATATAAGATCCTGTCTTATTTGGGGGAAAACAGGGTAGGTAGAATGGTCCTAAACGAAAAGGTTCTGATGTAGCAGACATCCAATGCTAATCCATTTTGAAAATCAATTCTCTTTACCATCGCGTCCTTTTAAAAATCTTGCAGGACCTTTTAAAAAAATGATTGTCTCTGCTCAATGTGTTTGTCTCGTTGCTTAATAGTACAGTAGTCCTAGGCTGAAAGGTTTTGACCAGAGAAGCTTTTACCACATAAAGTGTACTGATGGCACAAAGTGAAATAATACTGATATCAACAACAACAACAACATTTACAGGAAATGGATTTCAAACGCTTCTGGAAAAACAGTGTTACTTTCACTTTCTGTCACTGATTTAAGCCTTGTGTCATCCTAATGATGGATAAAAGATCAGCATCATCAGGGCACAAAATGGAAAACAAATGATCCATTTGGATGAATCCTCAGCTGGAACCTCTGCCCAGAGAACGTTCTTAGCATCAAAAAGCAAATGTTTCCTCTTTATTACCTTCGGCTCTGCCCACCCCCATTTAATATGTGGGAGCTGCTTTCTAAGCTTTTTCTGAATCAGTTCTTAAACAATTACAGTGATAAATTTGGATAGCAATAAAAAGAACAGTGAAAGAGGGACTGTCTCACTGTGGATTTTTTCTGTCTGATAAAGAGGACTGCATACTTATTTTACTCTGGTTGATATTGCTACCTTGTTCCATTTCATGATTACTCACTGAACTTTATGGGACTTGAATCTGGATCTTCTAAGTCCCACTCCAACACCTCAAGCTGGATCAAGGCTTAGAGATGATCACAAATAATTCATTGTAATGAATTCATTTTTACAGTGATGTCCACTGCTTTATGGCTGTCACTTGATCGAAGATGGCTTAACTTATTTTGCAGTATAATTGTAGCTTGGAATGGAGCTTGAAAAATTACAGGTCATGCTAACTGCAATATTCTGGGAAATGTGGTCCAAGCTCTGCACCCCTCCAAGACATTTACAATTGGGAGAGTAGCCTTACTAAATGGTGAAGGAAAAATACCGCATGATACACATTCTCTATCTCCTCCTGATGAGAGGAAAACAAACAGATATAATTTTATTTCTAATAACTAAAAGTAGTAGTTGGATTACTTTTTGATAAACAGGAACACAAAGAGTTCACTTTTAGATGGCAGCTGTAACAGCAACAAACTACTGTACTTTTAGTCTAATGAACTAAAACCATAACTAATTATTTTGAAAAGTAATTTTATAAGCTGTATACTAGTTCCACCCCCACTTTTCTGGTCATTTCCTCCAAAATTTACTGCAATGCAGCCCCACTATCAATCAGTCTTTGGAAATGAATTTCTGTGATAAGATTAATGTGCTTTTCAAGAGAAAAACAGAAACTCAGCCAATTTGCATAGCTATCTGGAAAAAAATAATAATTGTGTGGTGTACATGAGTCCCATTACACCACACAATTATATGTAGTGTACATGGTGGAGCAGAGGTGGCCATGCAAGTAAGAACATTGCATCATGTGACACATGCTGCATCATTTATTACTTGTTGCCACTGCTGTCAAGTCACCTCCAACTTATGGGAACCCTATGAATGAAAGATCTACAAAAGGTCCTGTCCTCAGCTGCTCTCCTCAGCTCAAGTGTGTGGCTTCCTTTAGGTACATAGTCAAAACCATTATGTATTTGGTCTTCTTCTTTTCTTGTGACTTTCAACCTTTTCCAGCATTACTGTCTTCTCCAGAGAATCTTGTCTTCTCATGATGTGCCCAGAGTAAGACAGCCTCAGTTTCCTCATTTTGCCTCCAGAGACAGCAGACTTGATATGCTGTAGGACTCACTTGTTCACAGCAGGCTTGATATGCTGTAGGACTCACTTGTTCATCTTTCCAGAAGGTTAGGATTTCAACAAAGCTCTCCTCCAGCACCACATTCGAACAAAACGTTGTTGTTGTTTTTTCTTCCTTGCAACTTTCGTCACCGTCCAGCTTTCACACTCAAAGATAGTGATTGGAAATACCAGAATGTGGATCATCTTGGTCTTGGTCTCCCATGACACATCCTTACGACTTTCGTCACCGTCCAGCTTTAACACTCAAAGATAGTGACTGGAAATACCAGAATGTGGATCATCTTGATCTTGTTCTCCCGTGACACATCCTTATATTTGATTATCTTTTCTAGTTCCTTCATTGCTGCTCTTCCGAGTTTCAGTCTTCTGATTTCTTGGCTGCAGTCTCCCATTTGTATTGTTCATTGAGCCAAGGTATACAAAATATGCCACTATTTCAATCTCTTCATCGTCAGCATTAAAGTCGTGCAGTTCTTCTGCAGTCAAGATTTTCGTCTTCTTAATGTTCAGCTGCAGTCGTGCTTTGGCACTTTCCTCTTTCCCTTTCCCTAAAAGCCGTTTCAAGGCATTGCTGCTCTCTGCTAGTAAGATAGTGTCATCTTCATATCTTAGCGTGTTGATATTTCTTCCACCAATTGTCACTGTTTCTTTATCTGAATCTAGTCTGGCTTTCTGTATGATAGATCCTGACTTCTAGTTTGTTGAGAGATTTTTAGGATTTCTTGGTACCCAGCTCTAATGCCTTGCCTGAACGAGATGGCACAGAAGTCTAAGAACCCCAGCAGACTACAAATCCCAGGATTCCGTAGGATGGAGCCCTAGCAGTTCAAGTGCACTCAAACTGCTTTAAACGTGTAGTGTAGATTGTGAAGACTTCAGCCCACACCGGCGCGTTCCTTCACTCAGCGCAGGAAAAGCTCGTCTTGCTCTTTCCGGCTTTGGCCACTAGGGGCAGACCTGAGCGGCTCTCTCCCATCCCCATCCCCACCACCACGTAGCATCAGGCAGTTCATCGTTGTTTCCTTTATACATCGAGCCGTGTTTAATTCGCAGATCCGTTTGCTTTACTGTATTGGTTTTTGTTTCACAACGCGCGCGCCCCCGGAAAAAAGGAAGGAAGAAGGAAGCCACCTCCCCCAAAACCTACCAGGAGGGGGGAAATCAAAGAGCTGGAAGTACTGCAGAGAAAGAGAAAAAAAAAAGATCTTAGGACCGAGAGAGGAGCGACCCGAAATCAAGATGTAAAAAATAAAAATGGAACATCGGGGACGATGGTGGTGGAGGAAGATGGTGCAACGCTGAGCGGGGGGCTGCGCTCCTCCTCGGCCTCTTCGGGAGCAAGGTATTGTCATCTCAGATTTCCCCCCCCCCCGCTCCCAATTCCCCGCCACCTCGGATCTCTTTGCCAGCAGCATCGCAAGCTCTTGCCGTGCGCAAGGATCGGGCATTTCCCGAGCCAGTCGGCGTTGCTTTGGCCAAAGCCAGGGTGGGGATGGCGGGTGGCGGGGGCCGGACGAACAAACCAGACCCGAGAGGCGGAGAGATCCAGACCAATGCAGCTTTTGGGATGCGCAGACTGAACGCGGGGATGCGGGGCTGGGGCTGGGCTGGGGGAATCCCCGCTACTCTTTGGGTAAGCGCGGGCCTTGATCCGGGTGGGATGGCTAAAAAATGGAGGCATTTGCCCCTCCCGTCAAATCTCTTCCCTGCCCGCCTGCCTTCCTCCCTCAGCCGGTAATACACCTTGGCGAAAAGAGCTCCTCTTTCCCCAGCTGAATAAGGCTTGACAGGCAAGGGATGGGTTAATACCTTCTCGCTGGGCATCCCTTATCAGGAATGGCAGGCGCTGCTGATGGGGGGAAATTTCTTGGGTGCCCGTTGCATGCATTTCTCTCTGGTTGTGTGTGTGTGTCTGCCTTTCCCTCTGTTGCGCTCTCCTTCTCCTTTATGATGGCATTCCCAATGACGCTTGGGATCTAGACTGTGGAGGACCAGGAGCCTGCCCGGGAAAGGGTTGCCAGCCAGCCAGCCAGCAGGTGCTGGGGAAGACCTGGGAAGAGGGCCCAAGATGGAGCCATGTTCTGAAGGGTTCATTCCCAGGTGTTTTCGACTCCGGGTGGAGAGGAGCTGGCCAGCGGCCATCACCCCGGCTAGCCAGTTAGCCAAGGGGCGGGAGAAAGAAGAGAGGTGAAGGCTCCCTTTGAAACGCAGGCAGATGTCTTTCTGGATATAATAAATGAATTTGGGAATCCGTGCTATGTTGTATCACAGATTCTCAGATGTCTGGGAACAATACAATAGAACCAGACCTGGGGCAAATGTATTATTTAAATAAATAATATAAATAAATGTCTGCCAGGCGATTCTCCAAGAGGAGCCACTAGGCCCAAGAGACCTTTGGAGGAACTGTACGATTGTGGGTGGGTTTTTTTTTTAAGGGTTGCATAGGGTTTAAAATACGTTTCTTCTATAAGAAATGACTTATTAAGAAGCCAGGCCTGGCTCTATTGCATTGTTACTGGGAATCTGTGGTGTGTTTATTCATTTTTAAAAGAAGGCAATCTGGGGTCTCCTGACTTGTAAACTAAGCCTAAGTATTCATCTTTGGCTGCTCCCCATGGGACTTGCAAATAAGTGTGGGCAGGATCACTGCCCAAGGGAAGTCCCCTTGAATTCTACAGGACTTGCTCCTAAATCGGCATGGTTAATCTTTAGGTACTGTGCATTTAAAAAAGGATGTGGTTTGGTTGCTAATGAAATACATTTTCCACCTCCTTAGCTCATGCTTATGGGTGAACTAGATTTTAGCACAGGTTTCAGTTCATGTGACATGTCGATGCATGTATGGTTCTGACCAGTTTCATGCCAGACCACAGATTTGAATTTGTGTGTCTCCTACTTCTGTGGTGGATAGCCTTTCAGGCTTGTGTGGAATCTACTTTGTTTGTTTGTTTGTTTTTTATTTTGTTTTATTCCTCACTAGATCCCAGTCCATCAATTGGAGCCCTGGTGCAAAAGAAATTCACTTAGAATGAAAGAATGTTGAGCCAAAGAATTAGTTTTGAATGCCAACACTGAAAAGAATCCATAGTACTGCACAGTAATTCCATCCACCAAAGTGTCCTTCATTCCATCCATATAATACAGGGCTGCAGGCAAAAGCTGGCGGGGGTGTATTTGTGTCATTTAGTTTTTTCTGCTGTTGTTAAAGAGGTAGAAATCTTTGCCAGCCTCCTACAAATCACCTGGTGCTCTACCAGAGTATCCAGCTCTGCATTCTTACCTACCTTATTCCTGTATCATCATTAAGCTCAGGTTGGGCAAAGTATAAGACCAAATATTGTTGTCACGTCCTGGGAGATGCAATTCAACAAAGTATCAGCGGATGTTCTTTGTTCATAATTTAGCTCCATGCTTGGTAATAATTCCAAATTATGTTAGCTTGTTCTTCCTAGATAATTGGAATGGACATCAGTTTCCCCATCCCACTCTTCACCCCCATTCTGATAGAGAGCATTCCTACCTATTCCAGCCTCAGGTGGGGTCTGCATAGCTTTTTAACCCATTCCTCACCCACATAGCTTGTTAACCTCTAAGGTGTAGCTAATCAGAGTTCAAGCAAGGCAGTCCATGGAAATGGGATGGCAGCTGGCCCAACACAGGTACCTGCTTTCTTCCTACCTTCATTCAGCATCTGTTTTGTTCCTCACTTCCTTAATGGGTGGGAGTTCAGGGCAGCATTTTGAAAGAAAAAAGTATTTTCTGTGTTATTTTCTGAAAAATAAGTTTGTTTACAAAGTGACTCTGTTGCACGGTTTTCTTTTACTTTTTCATGCATTGAAGAGGGATCCTTTAATTGCTGGTGGGCTCCTTTACTTGCATTATTATTCCCCCCTGCCCCTTCTGTTTTAATAACAAAACAGCAGAATGCCACTTGCTGTGTATTAGTGAGTCCTTGATTACCTTCATAGCTGGCTGGATAGCTCAGTGGTTTAGGCATCTCTTGTGGAACCAGACATTGGGAGTTTGATTCCTCCACTACCTCTTAAAAATGAGCAGGTTGCCTTTAAACCCCTTTCTATTAGTGTATTAACTACAGAGTGCAGCCCAGTGCTTTAATTTGGATTCTGGGTGTTGTGGTCCAAAACACACACACACACAGGAACACTCTTTTCACCCCTGCATCTTCTCTACATGTTGTTTGATGTAGAGATCTAAGAATCTTGAAATTCACCCATTTTTGTAGGCCTTTGATTGGTAGTATTACATTAATATGGATTCCTGATTCCCCCGCCCCTCTTATGCCTGACACAATTACTTTTTCCTGTTGACTGAAATAGTGCATGAGACATATTCTGGTTCTGGAGTTCCCATGTTTTGGTGAGCAGGAAGGAGCTTAAACTATAAAGGCTCTTTCACATATACCTGTGTCATACTCCATGGGTGCCTCAGTGAATGCCAACAGCCACTTTTCTTCCCAAGAGCCAAATGACATAAGCCTTATATCAGATTTCCCATCCCCTTGTTTCTTCAGCCTTTTTTATTTCCTGGGGTGTGTGTGTTGGAATCTACAGTTATTTTCCTGTAGCACCATTTATTATCTAAGCTGAAACTGCTTTGGCTTTGAAGAGCAGCATGTTCTGCTTTCTTGCTGGCTGTATGTACTCTTGGAGGGATTTTTCGAGTGGGTAGGTGGCGTCTACAGACTTCCCTCCACATTCAACACAAGGGTGCCATTTCCCTTTCCAAGGATCAGTGTTTGCATTGTTGTTTTCTTGGTCTCTTCCTCTCCTGGCAGGTGCACCTATGATACCATGCTGAAATGGAATTTACATAATTCTATAGTTCTCTTCCTTCTTGTTTATGCTACATCTTAACTATGGGGCCCCTTCATGGCCTGCTGCCTTGTCGTGGTGAAGGGGCTTCATTAATTCAGAGAAGCTATGGGCGGACAGGTCATAGTGGAGAGTTCTGACTAAATGCGATCCACCGGGAGCAGGAACTGGCAAGCCATTACAGTATCTTTGCCAAGAAAACTCCATGGACAGAAACAAAAGGCTAAAATATATGAGGCTGGAAGATGAGCCCCCCAGGTCAGAAGGTGTCCAACATGGTCCTGAGGAAGAGCAGAGGACAAGTAGCTCCAGAGCTAATTAAGTGGTTGGGCCAAAGCCGAAAGGATGCTCAGTTGTGGACGTGCTGGAAGTGAAAGGAAAGTCCGAAGCTGCAAAGAAAAATACTGCATAGGAACCAGGAATGTAAGATCTATGAACCTCAGTAAGCTGGATGTGGTGAAACAGGAGATGGCAAGAATTAATATTGACATCCTGGGTGTCGGTGAACTAAAATGGACGGGAATGGGCAAATTCAATTCAGACTATTATCATATCTACTACTGTGGGCAAGAATCCCCCAGGAAGGAATGGAGTTGCGCTCATAGTCAACAAAAGAGAGGGAAAAGCTGTACTGGGATGCAACTTCAAAAATTATAGAATGATTTCAATATGAATCTAAGGCAGACCTTTCAACATCACAATAATCCAAGTTTATGCACCAACCACCAATCCTGAAGAGGATGAAATTGACCAATTCTATGAAGACTTACAACACCTTCTAGAACTGACACCAAAGAAAAATGTTCTTGTCATTATAGGGGACTGGAAGGAATGGAATGCTAAAGTAGGGAGCCAAGAGATAAAAGGAACAACAGGTAAGTTCGGCCTTGGAGTTCAAAATGAAGCAGGCCAAAGGCTAATAGAGTTTTGTCAAGAGAACAAGCTGATCATCACAAATACTCTTTTCCAACAACACAAGAGGTGACTCTACACATGGACATCACCAGATGG